CTGACTAAACGGGGACGCTCGCCAGGACGCACGCGCGCCGCCAGGCTCCGTCCTCAGCGCCGCACTGCGCAGACGCGCGCCGTCTGGCGTCTCATCGCTCCGCACTGCGCAGACGCGCGCTGCTCGGCCCCAGGCGCTCAGCCCCGCACTGCGCAGACGCGCGCTGTCAGGACCCTGGCGCTCAGCACCGGACTGCGCAGACGCACGTCGTTCGCATCACGTTACGTCACGTCCGGCCAAACCATCTCGTAGAACCGGGGGCCGGCCTGCCCTACCGTATCGCGATTGTGCATCTCGAACGATTGTATTTGGAACAGCCAGCACCGGGAGAATCCTGCGGACTCACACATTCTCCTGCAAGCGCCCCACCCAAGATTTGGTCCGGCCTGCCCGCGGCGCGCTCTGAATTTAACCCGCTCTTTGCCAGAGCCCAGCCGTGCAAGTCTCGTCTGAAGAGCCCCGGAGGCTTGCTTTAAACACGCATCTTCACAAAATAGAATTGTTCCTTCACGTTTCCTCTGTGCACTCAGGCCTCCTTTTCATTGTTCCTGTTTCCTTGAGCGCCTTCCTGCGTCGCCTCAGCCTTCGAAGTCTCCCCAGTGACTAATTTAGTTCCCGTGGCCAGTTTCATATATATTAGAGTCTGAAAAGTTTTTTTAATTTTTTTTAAGTTTCCAATGCTGTTTTTACATCCACAGGCTTAGCGAGATACCCGAACATATAAGCAGACACCTACAGGCAGACCTCCGAGATTCTGCAGATTTGGTTCCAGACAATTGCATTGAAGTGGCTAGGCAGTGAAAAGAGACACATGAATTTTTGGTTTTCCAGCGCATATAAAAGTTATAATTACACTCTACTGTAGTCTATTTAGTGTGCAATAGTATTACGTCTAAAAAAGTAGATACTTTATTTTTAAAAATACTTTATTCTTAAAAAATGCTAGCCATCACCTGAGCCTTCAACAAGTCATACATTTTTTGTTGATGAAAGGGTTTTGCTGGTGGAGCCTGGGATGCTGAAGGTTGGGGTGGCTGCTGCAATTTCTGATGCTCTCTCTCTTTTTAAATGGAGGCACTGGGGATAGAACCCAGGACCTTGTGCATGGTAAGCACACTCTACCACTGAGCTATTACCACCCCCAACCCCGTGGCAATTTACTAAAACAATGAAATTTTCTTCAATCAAGCATGCGATGCTGTTTTAGCATTTTACCTACAGTAGAACTTTAAAAAATTGGAGTCATTCTTCTCAAACCCAGCTGCTGCTGCTTTGTCAGCTAAGTTTATGCCATATTCTAAATCTCTGATGTCATTTCAACAATTTCACAGCATCTTCACAAGGATTAGCTTCCACCTCAAGAAACCACTTACTTTGTTGCTCATCCATAAGTGACTCCTCCTCGTGTCATGATAAAATTTTATCATGAGATGGCAGCAACTGAGTCACATCTTCGGGCTCCGCTTCTAATTCTGTGAGCAAATGCCGTTGGAAGAATGGCGCCAGTAGATTTGCTTGACGCAGAGTTACCACAAACCTTCAATCGCAAGAAGTGTGAAACACAATAAAGTGAAGTACAATAAAACGAGGTGTGTCTATACTTAGTTAATTCATTTATTGAAATGATTATCTTTCAAAGAGGCACAAAGGAAACCTAAATCAAAATGGAGCAGGGAAGCCATGAAGGGAGGGCTCTAACACATACATCACCACAGCTTACAGACCATGGAGGAAGAAAGATTTCTTCCTGACACGGCAACAAACAAGCTGCCCACAATTGTGGTCAATTAAAAAACCACCTAGCCCTCTCCAATTTCCTTCTAAAATCTGATACAAGCTGACCTTCCCTTTGTCTCCTTGGACTTGCCTGTGGCTCGCTATATAGTTGGCTTGTCCTGAATTGCAGCTCCTTTGCTATTCCAAATAAACTCATCTCAGCTAGCTAAAGATCTTGTTATTTTTTAAGGTCAATAATCTCAAATTTTATTTCTAAAATCTTTGATTAGTGATACTTTTAACTAGTTTCAAAAGCCATAATGATAATGGTTGCATTGAACAGAAGGCTCCTATCCCTGACCCCATCCAGTTCTATTCCCCTCTCCTAAGTAAACACCTTATTAGTTTCTTGGGCAGGCATCCAGTATTTCTTTACATGTGCACAAGCAAATACAAATATATACTATTATTTTCCTTCTTTCTCGTAAAAATGTAGCTGACTCTATACCTTGTTCTGTACTTCCCCTCTGGCTGCCATCACCTTATTAAGAATATCCTGGAGACATTCCATGTCAAAAATAAGTTACTCATTTTTTTTTCTCAGATAGTGTGCCATCATGGGCATGTTCTATAGATGACTTACTGGTGCCCTACTGTTAACACTTAGGTTATTTCCAGTCGTTTTCTGCCAACAGCACTGCATTGAATGTATTTATATGCCCCACTTGTGGACGGATAACTGGAGGGTAAATTCCCACAAATGGGAAATACATTTGAGCAGCCCCATATAAGTTAGCATTCTCAACAGTAATATATAAGAAAGAGTATATTTCAATGGCAGTATTTAAAGTTTCAATTTAGATATCAAAAGCACGTTTATTTTCAAATCACATGTTACTTTTCTTTGCTGGTTTGCAAAGCACTTTCATATAATTCAGTGATAGAATAGTGGTGAGAGTGGTTTTATTGAATTTTTAAAATGGTAAATAGATTAATGTAACATGTAACATTAATGCAACACTCTGCACTCATGCAAAAAAATGTAAATATCTTCAATCGCCACGCATTTTAAGAAGGAAACCTTTTGGGGAGCTCTGGTGCTGCAGCAAAGTGTATTACAGCTCAGTGTTACAGCCCAGTTGTGACAGCAACCTGGATCCAGGTGAGAGACCAAGCAGCACTCGGAGGGTTGGAGAACTCAGGTTGATTATGCCAGCGAGCCCAAAGGAGTTAACATTCCAAGCTCTGGACCCCAGCTGTAGGTTTACACCAACTTTTATAGGCTGCCAGTTTACACTTTGCAACATCATATGCAAATGAGGTATAACGCAAGTTGACTAATTAGGAACAAGCTTTGTAGAAATGGAGCAATCAGGAGGGAGAGAAATAACCAATCGGGAGTGAGCTCCATGCAAATGAAGTACTACAAATGGACCAATCAGAAGTTAGGAAATGAGCCAATCAGGAGTAAAGGAAATAACCAATCAGGGGTGAGCTCAGGGAACCAATAAAATTTTAGGGGTAAGTAAGCCGTTTCAGAGGCAAAAAGTGAGATAGAGCCTCTGGGCCAGGAAACCGGATGGTGCTGGCAGGAAAGTAATGGCCCTGCCTGGGGGTCCTGCTGATCTTTTTATGGGGCTTCCCACCTCAATACAAAAAAGGTTCCTGGACTTGGTGTGCACCAGGGTTTGACAGGCATACAATCATAAACAGTTGTGCAGTTATGGGTTTGGGCACCCTGGGCAATGGCTAGATTTCCCATAGAATGTTTTGTCCCCAGGTTGTAGATACAGTCAGGAGCTCTATGGGCCAAATGTACATTAACTGACTTGGAGCTTACATCTGTGGAGTCCAGGGACCACCCAGGGAGGCCATTAAACTTGGTTAGATCTGAGAGACCTATCGGGCTGTCTACATGCTGGAGGGGGCTGGGACACAGGCAAAGCCAGCAATCACTTGCTAGTTGTGGGTTAGTAGCATTAAGAAGGTGATGGACCTTGCTTAATAAGGGATTGGGGGTCCCAGTTATAAGGCATGGGCATGGGTCTAGGTCTATTTTT